ACAGGTGGTGGAGAGCAGGATGGGCCAGTACTCCTCTTTCCCCAGGAGCTCTCTGTATAATTGTACAAGGACTTCAGCTTGATATTTTCTTTGAAGGGATGTAGCATTGGAACTGTGTGAAAAGTTCTTCTTCTTAATGTGTTTATTCATCACCTGAGGCCAATCACTTGTCCGGTAAAGATCCCCCCAGTAATGAAAATTGAGGTTCCCATTCCCATAGCACCACGCAGTGAAGTCGGAGCTATTTCTCCCAAATATAGAGGTTGAACACAAATGGCAATGCCTATAAAAATATTTAAAAGACATTTCAGAAGGTTTTCATGCAGCATCATTATTAGCCATTATTAACTGGACATCTAATTCATGTATCTGTGTTTCTCCAAGATTTAGAAACAAAACATTTAAGTGTTCCTGATGTACTCACCTGCATTTAATCCAGAGATGAAACGTCCGATGATGAGTAATTCAAATAACCCTGTAGGATAACTCAGACCCATCAGCAAAGCAGCCAGGAGTGCAAATATGTTATTGGTCAGCAGTGTCCCTTTTCTGGAAAGAAAAAATGAATCCCATTATTTATAAAAGAGAAGACAATTTTTCATTAAAAAAAAACAAAACAAAAACATGTCCATACCTTCCGACCCTCACAGACAATGTTCCACCAATCAGTGCCCCTATAAGTCCTCCTAAAGTGAATATGGACACGATAGTGGACCAGAGGAGGGTGAGACCATCATCTGATATTTGAGTTTGGTAACGCTCGCTCCAGGTTTGGTTGATGAAATCTTGCACATACTGGAGAGAAAAGAAGAAAATTGAACACAAACACTGTTTTTTATCAACACGAGTGCAAAGCAATGTCTAAATACTGCCACTACTCTTATTATCAGTCTACTTTTTTGTCACTGAATAACATCACTGTACTTGGCGATCATTAGACCGCCTGTGCTTGTTAGAACAAATTATGTGTTGTGTGTTTGTGTGTGCGTGTTCTCTAATATCAGAATAACAAAAACAGTGACTGTAGTCCACGTGTTACTAAGTTTGCCCTCAGACCGTGTTTTGATCATTTAGATCAATAGTTATGGAAAAAGTCCAGTGAGAGGCAGCAGAATTATTACCGCTGTGGGCGCATTGATGACAGATATATTATATCCATACTGAAAGGTCCCCCCGATGCCAGCAGCACACACAGCCAGCAGAAGTGATTTGTTTGGAAGCTGCAAACAGAAAAACAGACCCACAAACAAAAGTGTTTCAATATCATCTTGGACAGAAAGCTGCGTCCCACCATGCTGCCAAACGTACTTTTATTTTTCAAAACCCTTAATCCATTACAATCCACTTACCTTTGGCCGCCTTCTATCTTTGGTTGCTTTAGCTAGAAGAGGCTGATATTCATTCTTGTATTCTTTTGGCATGTTTTATATTTTGCTTAAAGTCCTGGATTCTTTGAGGGAGAGCAGAATATCAGAGTATCCTTCTCGCAGGAGCTTGCATCCAACAGGAAACTTAAAGCGGATGGGGGGATGAGTTTATGCCGGGGATAATACAATTGATCTGTTGTCAGAAAGTGTCCTTAGGGTGTGGGAAATTGGCTAAATTATTCCATGTTTATTCAAAGTTCATGGCGCACTAACTGAATCCAAACACAGCATGCAGTGTAGTTTAATTACTTTCACATAAAAGAAGAAAAGTATTTCGGGATCCACACATAGGGGAGTTACATAGCATTATGATTTTGGTCTACCGAAAACATGTTTCACAAAGAGTAGCACAATGTGCACCTATTTTAATATATTTTGGTTTCTTTTCTTTTTTCTGTTTTTAAAGACTTGCATAGCTCACAGGTTTGATGCCATGGAAGTGTGATGCATGCCTACAGGCAGTATGCAGTACCACATTCACATTTTAAAAGGCTGAGAAAAAAAATCCATAGTTATGCCGTAACATATGTCCTAGGCTATACGCTCAGCAGTAAAGATGCTATGTGCGGACTCCCCCTATAGTTCAAGTATAGAAAAGCAGTTGGTGAAGTTTTTTGAATAACTGCAGCCGCTGGATGGATTAACTGTGGAGAGCAATCTGGGCCGGCCATGGTGCAAGGTTTTTGTGGCTGCTGTCTTTTCCATCATAAGAACTCCAGTCTCCGTCAGAGGAGGGATGCACGGAAATGTTTATAAAGAGCAATTCATTAGCAGTTTAATAAAGTTGATAATAAATATTCATAATTTAAGACATTCTGTATACAACAATCCGAACTGCAGTTATAATACATATCAATACCAAGTACTTTAAACGGATTTTTGTCAATCTGGCAACCCAAAACCACGCGCTTTTAGAATTTAAATATTTATTTAGGATTTATTTTAGGATTTAAAATATAAATGACATTTATTTAGGATTAAAATTATTAAACTACGGATTACAGCTCGCATCCTCCACAGACACTAGCTACGTTTTATTTCATGTGAATTTAACGTTTTTCTTCACGACTTTGCCTCGTGACTGGCTCTCTTTAGTCATTTGAGGAAAGACGTCTGAACCCAGGAATTATTTTTTTTTTAAAAAAACCCCAAAACGAACAAAAAACAAAAAACAAGAAAAAGAAAAAGAAACAAAAAACCCTGCAAATATTCTAAAATAATTTATTTTATTTATTTCTTTATTCTTTTTTTTTCTTTCTAACAGCCCTCATTGGTTCCAAACCCATGTATGACTCACCTCTTTCCTTGATTCCGCACGTCCCTCATCCGCGTTCATTTTGAAAGCTGCCGTAAAGTTATGCTCGCAGAAACCATTTACAAAGACTAAATTTTGCACTTGAATCCAAGTTCTGACAAAGTAGCTGCCTACTGTAAGGTGCAGCACATGACCTCGGCTCAGCGTAGAGGCTGATTAAGAGGTTGAGGCACATTCCTGCTGCATGGTGAAGCTTGCTCTCGGGTAAAAGAGGGCTTGTTAACCCAAATATTAAAATAATATTCACTTTGTGTTACACACTTCACACTTACAGCTTGTTTCAACTGTCATGTGACTTTTTTTTTTAGTTTGGTTCATGTATTGTGGTCACGAGAAAAAATAGTACAATAGGTTCTCACTATATTCAAAGATGATAACACAAATTTATTGTTCAGGTAGCAGAAGATGTCATCTGCTAAATTGTAGTTCCATAAAATTGGATTCTATTTTCCATGGATGACTGCCTCCTAGGTAAATACATATTTGGGTTTGAATTACTTTGGATAAAAGTGATAAAACAAATAATTTCTAAAACGTTGACACTGATTTTATTTCCAAGGTCGCTGCGCTCTTAAATTTGTAAATCATTCAAAGAGTTCTGTAGCTTACCACAAAAAAACAAAAAACGTTTTAATCCCGTGAGAACTTTTGAGACTCTAAAAATGGAAATCTCAAATAGAGTTAACAGTGGATATTTTTTTCAAAATGTACAGCTCAGCTTTAGTTTCAGTCTGTAGTGATGATTTGTTGATCAACGTTAAAACAGAGACAGAAAAAAAAGGAATACTCTCGTGTGACACAGCTTAAAGCTTATTCAAATAAAACCCACTGAAGTTACTTGTAGTACAAAACAAATAAAAAAAAAGGTTGCTCTTTGATAAATATGGTCATTATACTGACCACATTTATGAAACAATGACGCAAAAGATCATTCATTCAGCTGATGCTGTGACAGCGCTGTTTCCACAAAGTTTTTACCATTTCGTTGTACATGTACAATGACAATAAAGGGCGATTCTATTCTATCTATTCAATGGACATTCTATTGCACCAGCTCCACTCTATACTACAGACGCAGCAGAGCACAGTCTCCCTCAGGCTGATCTATTCAGGACACAAAAAACGTGTCATTTTTACTGTTTATGAAAAATGTATAAAAAATTGTAAAACTTGTATGATGCTTAACAAGGAGGTGCAGCAGGTAGAGTTACAAACTAAAAGGTCAATGTTTGATCCCTGGGTCCTTCAGTCAGCTTGTTGAAGTATCCTACTGAACCCCAAACTGTCCCCTCATTGGAGTGTGAATGTGTGCAAGGCATGGAATAAAGTGGTGCATGAATGTGAGCACTCTATCTGGGTGCTCAGTTAGGTAAAAGTGTGATATAAGTACCAGTCCATGAAAAATTAAATTTTTCATGGACTGGAGGGAAACCCCTAACCTCATCACTTGACTTAAACTTTTTGATAAAGATAGGGGTGAATCAGGTGACCCTCAACCATTCCTTAGTTATGCTGCTATAAGGTCAGACTGCTTATACCTTTGATACACTGAGCATTTCTTCTTCACTTTTCTTTCCCCAGGTGTTCATACACTACTGCATGCCATTGAATTGTGTCTTTTATCCCCCACAATCTGTGTTTTGTCCTGTCTCCCCGTACCCTCTTTGTCTTTTCTCTTTACCCTTACTCTGAGTTGGTTGCACCAGAAACTGAACTGGTTCTGCAGGAGTTTTCTTCCTGCTAAAAGTGTGTTTTTTCTTTTTCATTCTGGCCGAGTGCTTCCTCATCAGGGGTTATCTGATTGTTGCTGTTTCCTCTCTAACCTTACATTTAAAGCACCTTGAGGCAATTATTGTTGTAATTTGGAATTACACGAATAAAACTGATTTGAACTGTAATAGTTTTAATAATAGTTTTGTCAGTTATAATTTAGCCTATTTATAATAATTGACTTCTTAACGCCCACTTGTAGTACCATTCGGGGCCCACCAGGGGTCCGTGGCCCACATTTTGGGAGCAGTTCGGGAGGGGCGAGAGCTAATTGTAGACATTCAACATGGCAGCAATTTTGTCATATTTCTATGGACAAAGGTCAGTAATACAAACTAATCATTAAATAATATTTAAAGCCACGCAGGGCATAATAACACCTGTGTGTTCAGATGTCATGATGACGTCTGGCCGCAGGGGGAGCGCTTCTTCAGGACATAACGGTGTTTGTGCAACCCTGAAACCCTTCCCCGTGTGGTGTAGGAAAGGGCAGAGAAGCGGGTTCCCCTGGCGTCGTTAACCATGTCGGGTAGAAAGCCCAGGTCTGTGGCAAACCCCCTGGAGTCTGCGATCACCACACCGAGTGAGAGGATACTGAAGGAGTGCCACAATCTGTATGTGGACAGCGAAAACGGTAAACAGTCGATAATCTGGATTAAGGCTAAAGCAAAGTTAGGACCGCAAAGTAGAAACCAGCCCGCCCTGGCTGTGGTATTATGGTAACCGAGCTGTGCCACTGCTGAAGCCCCCGACTGAAGTTTATGTGGACTTAAAGGTGTAATGCTGCTTGTTTAGTGTGTGTGTCAGTCTGCAGCAGCTGCTAGTGTGTGTCAAACACGTGACGTTGAACATCTCAGAGGCTCCTCTGCAGCCTCGCTGGGCAGTGCCCCATCTGACTGTATGCATTGATGCAAAATCACATACACATAGATATATAGAGACTTCATTGATCCCAGAAAGAGGAACATAATTAAAGTGCCGCAGTCGCATAGTGACGGCCTTATACTGTAAGATATTACAGTTAAAAAAATCATCAATTTAATAAGAAAGCCTCCTGTAGTGTGCTTTTTATTAATGGGAGATTATTATACCCTTCTGGGGTGCAAGCAGAGAAAAGCAGAGAGAATATCAACTTGTTTTCTAGAAGGTAAACATTTGGAAAGGTGTGGTGTCACGAATAATCCTGTAACTCATTTTAGTTACCTTGATCACCATGTGTCCTTTTAAAAAAAAAACAACTTATTATAGTGTAATAGCTAAATAAAAACACAGGCTTGTATAATTTGTTATATGTCAACCTTTGCCCTCTCTTCCCCTTCCTTAAGAATAACTTGAGAGATAACAAATGAGAGATGCCTCTAGACCTTTGTATTGTATGTCAAAATCAAGTAGATATATTGGAATTACATTTCTAAAAGAAATTTTTGCTCCAAAGAGGAAAAAACCTTAGAATTTATGTTCATTCTTGGGAGTCTGATTTATAAAACAAACATACACATTGTGACCGCATAGGGTTAGGGTTCAGGTAACTTAGACTTCAGAGGTTTAACATAGTAGAATTTTACTTTAAGCATAACTGTCTTGGAGCTCATGCCAGGCAACAGGCATCAGTTTATTTTGCTTTTACTGTGATAATTGTCACTACTGAGAAGAGTTGTGAGGGAGGACAAGTGGTAGTCATTTCATCTGCCACTTTGTAAAATTTTCCTCTACCTACTCTTTAACCATGTACGATTAACTATGCATCTGTGCAGGCTTACTATTTACTCACAACTACATTATTTTATTTTAAAACCAGTCTAGAGCATCACAGTACAAAGGTACCACTATAGTCATTGCATGTCATGATTGTGTTGTGTGTGTTTTTCAGGCTTGGTAAAAATTGCCAGCAGCCTGGGAGTCCGTCTTCTGCCTCCCAGAAAGAAGATCATCGTGATGATAATGGGTAACCACTCTGCAGGAAAGAGCTCCTTCATTAACTGGTATTACTGATACTACTTATTGTTGTTGTGATCTAATAACGCTGCCTGACCATCACATGCTCTGCTCTATGTTTCAAAGAGAGACTGGTGTCGAGAACATCCTGTTCACACATGACTTTTTGAAAGCGCTTTGTGGTTTGAATGCAGCCCAGTTTTGCCCCAGGAAGTGTGGATTTACAAAAGAAAATGGGGGAAAAAACAGGTGTAATTTGTTATTTTGTATGTCAGTTAAATCTTTTGTCACCATCAAAGTTTTGTCCTCTTTTGAATAAATGCTGGGTAGGAAATATGTATGCTGTAAGATTAGTGACCTTTAGGCTACTCCCTTATTCGCGTCACCACATTGGGTGGATCTGCATATTTGAAATGCAGATCGAGGCATACAATGACACTGTAATACTGTCCCACATCCGTGCTAAAAGAAAGAGCATCAAATCACCATTAATAAATACCATATGTACTGAATCAAATATAAACAATGTGTGCAGACATAAGAAGGAGGGTCTTTTCTGAAACAAGCCTTCCTGGGATTTGTGTCTCCTCCTGTCCTTGAACTGGGGACCTTTCACAATCTGGGAAAAACTTCCTCTTCTCCCTTCTTCTTCTTAAGCTTCTTATTTTCCTCTTCTCCTCCTTTTCTTCCTTCTCCTCCTCCTGACCCTTCAGGGGTTGCCAAAGCAGATTATCTCCCTTCCCGACCCTATCCCTAGCATCCCCCTCTGTCACTCCAGCCTTCCCCACAACCATGTACATCTTCTGTGGTCTTCCTTGTTTCCTTTACAGACAGTTTAGAATAATCAGTAACCCAACATGCTTGTCTGTGGTCTGTGGGTGGAAGCCCCAGTACGCAAAGAGAACCCACCCAAGTCCCAGCTGGCCAATAGATTCAAACTCGGGACTTTTTATGTTGTGAAATGGCAGAGCTAACCACTACACCACCGCGCCGCCCCTGATTCTAACTGATCTGACATATTTTAGAGAGAGGGGGCTTTCTGCTGACAAATTGGTTAAGGTGACATTTTTTTTCTATTGCAATATTTGTTAATTTGTTAAATCTTTCAAGATTCTTATATACTCATCTTCGCTAATGTTGAAGATGCTCTTAAGGTCATCACTTTGATTATTACTGCTTAGAGATTGCAAACTGGTTCGAGGAGTGTTTTTCTACCTGACATTTGTTCTCTAGTCTCTTGATGTCCAAATTCTGTAATATCCCACTGATCACACAACTACATCCTTTTAAACAAGCCACAAGCTATATTATTACAGATGGATGGGTTTGTGGGTAGGTAGGTAAATTATTCTAAACATTAAAACATGAAAGAATGAATTTAGTTTCTTGTGGATAAATCAAATTTACCAAGCAAAAATTCAAACAGTGCATTGTTTGAGCTTCTTAAAATGTTAGGATTTGTTTATTTTCCCTTTGATTGTAAACAGAATTATTTTGCAGCGTTTTTTCACATGTAGCTTTCCGCAAGAATTGAGGCGTTGTTGCTTTAGCTCTTTCTCACTTTTGATGGCGTTATTATCTTTCTAGGTATGTTGAAGAGCACATTCAGAAAACTGGGGTGGCCATCGAAACGCAGGGGTTTACCTTCATCACAAGTGGACGCAAAAGAGAATCTCTGACGGTAAGATCAGCGTGGACACGGCCGGCATGTGCAGCTGTGCCACGAAAAGATTTCCCAGCCAGAGCTTAAAAAGGAAAATTGTGACAGTTAACTCTTTTACTTCAGTGCAATCCTTTAATTTTGTTCTCAGTATTTGTTAAGAAGCTTGTTTTTATATTCAGCTATCACCTTTTAGTTTTGTACTCAAGGAGATGTTGCGATTGTTTGACTTCAGTAACATGAACTGAAGCTGCAGTCAGTCATAAAGGCTGATGAAGCAGGGTGTTTGATGTTGGCATTTATGTAAGGCACTCCCTCAGCCAGTGGTGATTTCTCATTCTATATGCTGCTCCACTGAGTATACACACACGCACACACACACACACACACACACACACACACACACACACACACACACACACACACACACACACACACACACACACACACAGAAACATCTTTGCAGCATGAGAACAGGCTTGGGAGACACCTGCCTCTCGGTCGTCTCTGATATCCCTTCCCTCTGCCTCTCTGTTCATATCCTGATGTGGTGAAGGGTAGGAGTATGAATAATACATTTGGAGTGTAGGACTGCAGAGTAGAAGGATTATCTCCAATGTGCAGGAAGAGCTAAGGCGTGCACACTGAGCCGCAGCACACCAGCTCGTGTAAAGCACCAAGATGAGAGAGGACTCTGTTGTAGAGGGGCGGGAAAAGACTGCAGGGGAAAAAAATGCAGGTTTGTCTCATCGGGTTGTTTCTAACACTGTCCTGTTAACTCTTTCGCAGGGGAATGCAACGCTGCATCTCTATCCTCACTTTCGACCGCTCCTGGAGTTCAAAGGTAAGACTTTACTTCTTCAACTCTTTACTATACTACATTTTCATGCTCTCTCAGTGAATGTGCAGATAGTTCCTTCTGTGAAACATTAGATTTGATATATATTCCACGTGCGGGTAAACAGTAAAAACTTGGGGCTTTGCATCTCTATGCCTTTGATCGTGATATTTCTATGCTCATTGATGATCATCACCAATCAGTCTCTACAATTCGCAAATTATTGGAATCGAGAGTTAAAACTGCAGGAGATGAATGTAATCACAAACTGCAAAAAGGTAGCTGTACCTTTGAGGTTTAAGATAAGGCTCTGCTGGTGGCTAATGAATATTTACCTCTGGATGCTGCTGATCAAAGTCGGTTTTAAAGACGCGTTGTGATCTGTAACATCACAAGAATGTCTGCCTGTTTAATGCTCGGTTACTCGTGGGCTGTTATTAATCCTTATCACAGGCTTCTGTGATTTAAGGTTGGGTTTAGGTCCTTCACCTTGATGACTCAATAGTGAGTCATAAACTTGATGATAAATCGGTCCGGACTCCTGTTTTCTTCTTCTCACACACGTGCGGCGCTCTGATATTGTTTTAAGACAGTTTTGCTCAGATCTGTGCGTCAGCAGCGCTCTGGATACGCCACCGGACGGCCGCTGTGAACGTGGTGATCGTCTACAGAGTCTGGGTGTTGCCTGCTGGCTGAGTGGGGGTGTGCAGCGGAGGGTGGGGGAGTGTGTTTGAGTGTTGACAGGCAGTGTGTAGAGAGTGGGGGTTCACTGGGTGCGGACCAGAGCGAACACTGTATGGCGTATGAGTCACACGCCCCATCGGCAGCAGTGCAGTTTAGTCAGAAGGAGCTGCTGAGAAATGTCACAGCTATTAGAGACGGCGCAGCCCAGACTCCAGCAGCAACAGCTTCGCTCCGCAGGCCCGAGCCTCGCAACAATCTGCTGCTGGAATACAAGCAGGATTTTTCTTTTCAATTCATTTCAACTTTATCGTCATCGTCGCCGCCGCCTGTGGAAACCAGCTGTATGAGACATTTGTTTACCTGTCACAGCAGCCGAGGATGACTCATCAGAAAAGCTCCATATATCCATACATGTGGGAGCAGCTGCTGGCTGCACACTTTGGTCTCCTTTGGGATGTGCTTCTTAATTTGGCTTCATACTTAGATCTTTATGTGTCTGTCTTATCAACCTGTTGTCATGGGTTTAGCCTGTATGCTTTGTGGGAACTGACTGCTTTTGCTGCACATTAAAAAATAATCATATCCGCTGGTTAATCAAGGTCTTTGGCTTCTCAGATTCCTGTAGAAGTATTTGCACCATGTCTGCTTTCACCTGTTCAGCTCAACAATTTCTTTTTTGGTCTTGGTCGATGCAGCGTTATTGCAGCCTTTGCCCTTTTCCTTGTGCACATGATCTCCTGCACGGTCCTCTCAGTTACAGTCAGTTCAGGAACTTAGCGCACATTGGCAAGTATAACTCTCATTTTCAGCTGGCAGAACTTTTTTCCTTTCCCGCACGGATCGATGTATCTGTCCCCGTTTGTGCCTGTTTATTTAGGATTATATGGAATAGCTGAAGTGCGGTCTTGCAGCGCTCTAAATTAAAGCTACTTTATGAAATCCGCACACACCTAAACACAAACATACATATTTTTAATGTTTCTTTTGCACAGCAGGGATATCTCGGTACTCAGACTTTTCTTAGGCGTGTGATAAGAGGCAGATCTATTGATATTGTGGCCATGCTGATGTGGGAGAAACATGAGGGAATGCTAATGTGCCAGAGGAGCAGTGGCTCTGCTCACTGCAGCACAAGGATGCGATTTGTGCTGGCTGTTGACACCTGCCTCTTTGCATGAAACGGCCTCAGTGTCATCCCAGGCCTCCCTGGTGTGTGTGTGTGTGTGAGTGTGGGTCGGCGTGGGAGGGGTTACTTTGTCACTAGTAGGGATGCATCTCAATAGTGATCCTGTTCTATTTAAGGGGAGGGGGGGTGTTCTTATGTGTGGTGGTTGTGGTGGATTATCGTAACCTCTCAGTGCGTTGCCTCACAGTCGTTCTTCACTGGCTAGCTTTATGTCCCACGCCCCACACTAAAGCTGCCAGTTGAAGAGCTGTTGTGTGTAACCATGACAACAAAGCTCTCCACAGAGGGCAGTGAGGAAACAGAGGCCTCGTTAATATTTTCATGATTAGAAAAACAGAAATAAAGTTTCATGTGCGAGGGTGCGGCTGCTGTATCATCGTCACAGGACGTGAACGTATCTTTTCACACGTGCACAGCTGTGTCTGTGAAGAATACGATCGTTTTGGAGTTAAATTATAGCTGCCGTCCCCAAAATGCAAAGCTCTTAGCATAAAAGTTGCCTTGAGATCTTGTTGCTGATCTCCCTCAGGCTTCCAAGTATTGACCGCACTGCGGCTTCCTGTAGCACACAATATTATAGCCATTAGAGGCGACATTTTCCTGCATGGACTGAACTCGTTACCTTAGTTACTGTGTCTTTATCTTTTTGCACATGCACGCCATCTCTGTTTTCCAGGTGTTACTGACTACCTATCTGCTGAGATCTCCACCTCCAAGCAGAAGAAATTCAGCCTGGTGACTTTCGTGGACACTCCGGGTTTGGTGGACGGGGACATGATCTACCCTTTTGATGTGAATAGTGCCATCACTTGGTTGGGTGTGTCCTTTAGCTTAAACTTGTCTCTTCAGTGGTGATCTGTCTTCTTCTTCTTCTCCTTTGTGTCTACTGTACAGCTGATGTACAGCTGCAGGAATGTAATAAATGCTTTTTTTCTCTGAGCAGGAGAACAGGCAGACCTGATATTTGTGTTCTTTGACCCGATGGGCCAAGCGCTTTGCAAACGCACGCTCAACATTGTGGAGAAGCTGAGCCAAAAATGCGCAGACAAGCTGTTGTTCTACCTCAGCAAGGCAGATGAAGCTGGGAAGGAGACAGACAGACAGGTCAGTTTACCTGATTTGTATAATTTATTTTTGTTTCAAAGAAAGTTGAACCTGTGAGATGAACTTTTTTTTTTCTCATCAGAGAGTGATGATGCAGATAGTCCAAGAACTGTGCCGCCGTCCAGGTCTTAACAAATGTGGCTTTGAGATGCCAACAATATACATCCCGAACCCACAGAAGGTAAAATGATCTGTGTTGGTTACTTTAAACTGCTGTGTTTGTATAAAAATTACTTCTGGTTGTGCAAATATTATAAACCACGGCAGTGCAGTTATCGCTGCACCATCTTATGATCTACAACCACGAAGCGTGCGTGGTAGATTTGTGCATCCCTCAAGACCTCCGCTTCATTTCTGCTGAGCGAGTGCAGCTTCACTTTCTGCCAAGTCCACAAGGCTGTCAGTCAGAATGCCCTCAGGATTTGTCATGGAACTTTCCAGACCATCCTTTATTGAGATGTGCAGAGTGTTTTTCATGTTCAGTCCAAATCTGACGTGTTTACGAGCTGTTTGTCTCATGTAGCCGAGCAGGTGTGTGAACCAGATCGATGGCGTTTGTCAGACCATCGAGAAGACCATTAACCAGGCTGTTCAGAAGACACTGAATCAGCTGGAGAAAGATTCTGACCTTATTTGTTCCACTATCAGCAGCAGACTAGAGCAGGACAGGTATGACCTCTTGCAGCCTTGATAAAACATATTATGTGTACACTGAGCAGATAAGCATCACCAGATACTATCAGTTGTGGAAAATGTATGATAGCACATTATTGTTATGGTTGTGTACACAGGGCTGATGTGGCTTGCAACAAAAGCATCCGTCTTCATTCATTCCTGTGCGGTGCTTTGGGTGTTTTCCTGCCTTTACTCTTCATCCTCAGTTTTATTGTGAGCACCTTATCCAAAGAGCAGCTGGAGGAGCTGTTGGGTGAAGGTGCAACTCGAACCATCACTATCTTCACAGTAAGTGCTCTGAATGAATATCAGTTTCATAATATTTCATTAATTACTTCATTAGTGACTTAACATAGTGTCCTGAGCTCTCTGACTGTCTATTACTGTGTGTCTGAAAGGGAATAGTGATGTATTTATGGGACTGGATACCTGAAGATGGGCAAGTAGTCTTTGTCATCATTTTTGGGGCTTTTTGCTACCTCCTGCTTTTCCTGGCAAAGTATTTTGCAGGGTAAGTGTGGCAAAATGCAATTTAACTCGTAGAGATTAATTAAACAGATCGATTTTGTTCATATTGACATGACAGCATCACACAGTTGCTGCAGATTCGTCAGCTGCACGTTAATGATGCAAATCTCCCGTTCCGCCACATCCCAAACAGATAGTGATCTGATCAGTAGTGATCATTTTCACACCCTGAATTGCAGCGTCAGTTTTTGGTTCTTAGCCAACAAGAATGGTACCTGGTGTGGTCTTCTGCTCCTGTAATGTTAAAAGCAGATGGGTTAGAGAGCATTTAGAGATGCTCTTTTGCTCACCTTGGTTGTAATGACTGGTCATTTGAGTCACTGTTACCTTCCTTTCTGGTCATTCTCGTCTGATTTATGACATCAACGAGGCGTATTCACCCACTGGATATTTCCTCCTTTTCTGACCATTCTCTGTAAACCTTAGATATAGTTTTGTGGGAAAATCCCAGTAGATTAGCAGTTTGAAATATTCAGACCAGCCTGACTGGCACCAACCACAGTTCATGTGTCCGTTTAATGTCACCCGATCAAGGAGTAAACTAAACAGGGACTGGTTCATTCAAATTTTCAATTTCTTTGTAGTTTTCTGCAAACGGTTTTTCTATTTTTCTGTCCTTTTGAATGCTCTTGATGGTTGAATAAGATCATTATAAGATCGCAAGGGCCTTATGTCGTATCAAGACATTAAAAAGACTCCTTTAACGCTTTAAAGAACTAGGCCTGAGAACCGGCCTGTATGATACGCTCAAACATATAAATCACATTTCTTCCCCCTTCTGATGCTTGGTTTGAACTTTTTCATTTTAATATCAACTTGACCTTGTCTACATGTCTAAATGCATTAAGTTCCTGCCATTTAATTGGCTGGTTAGTTTTGTGTAATGAGCAGTTGAACAGGTGTAGACTGTACATGCAATTACAAACACGAGTATTTTAATGCTGTCATGTTCTTCATTCTCAGCCGGAGGAATAAGACTCTGACGAAGAAGGAGAAGAGGACGATGACAGAGTACAATGATTACATCCAAGATATCGTCAAGACTAAGAAGGTTAGATGTACATTTTGTGTCCTTATGCTCTCTTAACTAAGTTGTTTTTTCATTTGGATTGTGCAAATCTAAAGGCCACAGTAATTAAGTATTTTATTGATTTGTTATTGGTATAAAGGAAATTACTGCCAACTCTGCTGCTTCCCTTCATTTTATGGAGCTTTTTAGTGTTGATCGGGTTTTTTTTAAGTGAGCTGACTGCTAACTAAAAACTAGAATGCTTCATAAGGTAGTAAACTTTATGTCAGTGTTGTGTTTTCAGCTAGTTTAACTTCCCTCGCTCGGCCCAAAAAGAAAAGAAAATCAGTTCATGCGTGTTGTCAATTTATCAAACATCAGGATTGTGAATCTCACACAGGTAACTTTTTTTCCACAGAGTAAATTATATGAATGGTACCTCCAGCAGTGTGCAGCAGAATATGACCTCTGACCCTGGGTAAGCCGAAGACACTTTGCACCAGTACCTGTAAGCTCGCAGGTGTAAGCTCTAAATCAGCCGAGATCACTGCCAGCAATTATCATCTCAGCAGCTGATTTTAAAAGTGCCTTTATTACTAATTATTGGAGAAGCTATGATTGTAGTCGTTTAATGAAAGTCAGACTGTGACTGGATTTTTTTTTTTTTATAGTCTATGGGTAATTATTGCGAGAAAAATATGAAATGTTTACAAATTACAAATTTTGAACTTGGGGCTGCCTTTACCAGAAAACACATTTTCACAGTGTCCTCTATAAAGTTAGTTCTCATTGTTGTCATGTGATCGGTCTTTATATCGCACTACACTGTCCTGAGCACAGTGTTACCAGAATGTGTTTTAAGCAATAGCTACAATAACCAATGCTGTGATTAAAGCCTGGGCATTATAGTTGGACATCTGATAAAAACATGTTTATTGCGTTGAATCCTTCTCTTGCTTCCAAAGAGCCAATCACTTATTTTTATAAATAAATCGTTGTCGTGTAATCATTGTTAGATGTTCCACAGACTTTCAGTACAGCACAGTACGGTGGCCTAGAGCAGCAAAAAGAAACATTTGACGGGAAAGTTGGTGACAACATTTCTTGTTTGTGACCGGATAAAATTCAAGTTCCTGGGAACAGGTTGACTCTATCATTATACGAGCATGTTTGCCCTACCCCCTGTAGAAACACAATATTCCCATTGTTCAAACCAACAGAGGATATTGTATATTTTGGCCTTGTGTCACCATTGTAATGATTTATATGATCCAGTCAAAAGGCTGGATTGGCCTTTTGTTCCCGCCTTACGTTCCTGTCCGCTCTCTACTCTTCTATCAAATAGAGGCTATAAAAATGCCACCTAGAAATCCTTGCTGAGGATCTGCTTTAGCTGCGAATGGTCCCATGGTGGGGATTGTAGCTCTCAGCATAACACAACCTCATCTCTTTGACCATATTTCTTTTAAGTGGGCCTCAGGGCTTTCAAGTAAGGTTTTTATATAAGAGTAGCATAGAAGCTGGAAATCTCTCCCGACTGTAGCCGGCGAACTTGATTTTGTCCAGTCACAATAAAAAATGTTGCCCCAACGCTTCTGAGAAAGGTGAGTTTTATTTTTTTTTTTGTAATGTTTTTTGTTTGTTTGTTTGAAGTTTCATTTAGTTCTTGTTGTAGTTTTTGTTGTGTTTTGCACCTCAGGGACACCATAGTACAGTGCGCTGTCAGGTACCTCTTACTTGTGTTAATAAGCACTGAATCCTGCCGGTCCGTTATTGATAGATGTAACTAGTGACACCATATATTGCCTTCACCACACTGTTTGTAGATGTATTTATCAGTGTTGACAGATGTCAACATGTGAGGTGCTTTTTCTTAGAGATGCACTGATCCAATGCTCTACATTACCATTAGAGCTGCTTTTGAGGTTTTCTTTTTTTTAATTGCAGTGACTGATATAAATAAACCTCTAACATTAGTGAGCAGGTTAATCGGTCACATGAAGATGGTTATCAGCTCGATAAGTTAACTCACAATTTTTCTACATGGCTACGAATGTGTTTACATGAACTGCATCTGCTCAATCTGTAACAGCAGATCTGTCCGTTTTATAGGCTGATTTTACAATGGGAGGTAAAACTATAATATTAGAACAATATGAAGCAGTCAAACACACACAACACTGGCTGAAAGCAGAGTGTGTGTACGTAATAGAAAGATTATATTATTAAAAGGCACTTTGTGAAGAATTTTGGTCAGTAAGACTGGAAAAGCACTACTACATTAATAAAGCCTGGCCGATTGAAAGCCAGAAAGGAAAGTTGGTATAAATGCTGACTGTGTAAGTCAACAGACATACTAGCATTACAGCTCTATCACGAATAAACAGCCACAGTAAATTGTGGATGAGATGCGTGTAAGGCAATTGTTGCCTTACTCTTTCAGCTGCAGAAAAAATATGAAAAACAGGTCAAATATAGGTCTAACTTAGCTGCAAATGAGGTCCACATGCACAAATATGTGCCCTGTTTTAGCATCCTATATGAAGGAGTCTATATCTATATTCCTTATTGATGCTAATGACAGAAAAACTTACTCTTCCAGGAATGGTGATACTATTTTCTGCTCCAGAGCAGATTAGCTGTCTGGCATAAGTTTCTATGGTTATATATCCCAGAAAGATGTGAACTGCCTTTGTAATCCACAAAACCCAGGCCTAAACTTGAAGTTACCTGGCTAAGATGAAATCTTGCTTCATAATACATGATGCACTGAAAGAGTTGGTGGCAAAAGCACTGAGTTGACATTTCAGAATTTTTATCAGAATAGAGAAGTTGGATCGGTGCATCCTTACTTTTATCCAAGCCTCCAGGCTATTGGCAATATAGTTGTGGACACTCCCAGTTTGTTTGTTTTTTAATGTTAGATGGCTCACAATTCAGATTTTTTATATATATAGTTGTGAAACTTCATTTATAAATTCTGTGAAATGTTTGTGCTACTGCATGAAATCTAGACTCAAGTGATTTCATCTATATTTTTAATAACCATGAATCAAAGAATGAAATCTGTCAAGAAAAACATGCAAAAACTACGCTCTGTCACCTCTTTGGAAATCATTAAACATTTTTTTTAAACCTGTTACACTTTTTTTTTTTCCAGTTAATACAGTCAAGAACAGACATGCAAATAACAAGTAGAATAACATGAAAAATAAAATGTAACATAAAGCAGTTATTGTTGGAAGACTTTTATTTCAAAGTTTAGTTATAAAAATGCCATTCCAGACATCTCTGCAGGGAGAACAATGCCTTTTTAATCGCTTTGTTGACGTGTGTGTCAGAGCTCAAGTGTTTCGGGATCTGCGGCACTCCAGGATGCAATCAAATATCTGCTTTCTATCATGAAGCGCATTGCAAGCTCTGAACCACTGAAACTGCAGTAACTGTGAGGAAATATTTAAGCAACAAATTCAATTTTTCTGCTTGCAGAGGGACCGGCAAACCCAGGCCACAATCCTCAGTTCCCTGAGTTAGTAACAAACAACGTCTCTACAGGGGTGACGGCTATGCAAATTAACCTTAAGCTACTATTGCTCACTATTCATTTCCGAGGGGTTATACCTACTTGTTAGAAAATACACGAATCTACAATGCAAGCACTAGTATGTGATCAAAGAATAAGAATTCCATTTGTGCACTCTACTAGCAAGGCAACCATAACAGAGAGGTAAGCTGTGAGTCTAACCATTATAATAAATCACAAATTAACGCTGCGAGTGAGAGTTGGTAAGTAGGTTAAAAGCTGCATTCAGGCTTGTGCTGAAGTGGTAACACAGTTTGTTTTTATTGCAGATTTAAGCTTTGCTCATGTGTCTACATTAAAAAATTTTTTTTACTATTTGGGGCTTAATTTAACTCCTGTTATAGCAAGTTATACCATGCAGATCTACGGCCTGTATGCAAGCATACGACCACGTCTGTCATTCACTGGAAAATGTATGCTCTTATTTTGTTACAGTGCATTCAGGATTATAACTATTTACAATATTATCTGTACAAAAAAACTCATTGCCCTTCCCTGGCTTCTTATAAACAAAGTGTACAGGTAGATACATCTTGCAGCAGCACAGAGGCTGATACCGGTATTGCTTCATTGTGAAACAAGACAACATCGATAATAAAAGACCTGCCGACACAGTCACTCAGTGTTTTCAGGTCGTGCGTGGCTCCTTTTGTTATTTTAAAGTATCTCTTAGGAGAAAAAGTGATGTCCTCAGGTAAGCATGTCCCAAACAGACAGTCATATCAGCAGGTTTGTGTGTGTTGTGAATAGACTGTGATAGCTGCTCAGTATCTCAGCACCATGAGTGTCCATATGGAGGTGTCCAAAGGGACTGGGAACTTCAGATGGGAAGTCATTGAGAGCCTTTGTCAATCAACCAAGAAATGTCTCCAGTCCTAAAACACACACACATAAAATCCCATTACATACAAACAAAAACATGCCAACAAAATCACACGTTAGTTGATAAATTACAGCTCCTTGTGAGTGGCTGTTAATGCGTGAAGCAGAAAGGAGAAAAAGCAGATATTTTTCCATACTTGCCAAGTCGTGTTAACATCCTTCAGGTTTTTTGCAAGCATTATTAGAAACAGAAGACACAACAACAGTATGGTCACAAAAACAAGGAAAAAGTGGACACAGGATTCCAGCAACATCATTACGGTACGGTTCTGCTGCATTTAACAGATCCAGCAGTTCCTGATAATAGTCAAGAAACTGATTTGTAAACCCTCTCACAGAGGCTCCTTAACCAGTGTGTGTAATTTCATAGTATTAATTGTGATTAAAGCTTTGTGTTACCATCACAGTTTTTAATCCTATAGCTGCACAGTCATGAAAAAAAAAGTTTTCACAGGACTTTCTGAAATCCTGTGAAACTCCAAGCACACCCCATGATTCAGTAGTTTGTTGAACCACCTTTAGCAGCAGTAACTTGAAGTAATCATTGTCTGTGTGACTATCTGATTTTTTCATCACCCCTCCAAAACTGTGCAAATAGTTGTTATGATGTGTTTGTGCTTATGTGCATTGTTTGGTTTTCACCAAACATGCTGCTATGCTTTATAAACAAACATCCCCACTTTAATGTGCTGCCCTGTTCTTTATTGAGAGAAGTTGGGTTTTTCTAGCAGCCCTTTTAAACAAATTCTAGTTGTTTGGTCTTGTTCTAGTTTTACTTAATATTATATTACTGTTAATGTTTACTCATAATAGAGAGCATCACAAGCAATTAATTCTTTTTAGAATTTATATACAGTTAAAGGCATAATAGTAGTATAATATTATATATCAATAATATTATTGGTGGTTAAAGTGAAACATGGAAATTACAACTGCTTAAACTATTTAAATACTTCATAACTATGCTGGTTCTTTCTTAAAATGCAAATGTACTCAGTGTATTTGCTATACAGTCAATGAATATTTTGTTAGGTACACCTGTTCAACTGCTTGTTACACAAATGCCTAAACAGCCAATCACATCTCAACAACATAACGCATTTAGGCATGGAGACAAGATAACCTGTTTAAGTTCAAACTCTGCATCTGAACGAGGAATTAAGGTGAATTTGAGTGACTTTAAACGTGGCATGGTTGTTGGTACCAGATGGGCTGGTGTATTTCAGAAACTGCTGATCTGCTGGGATTTTCCCAAACAACCATCTCTAGAGTTTACACAAAAAACATCCAGAGGACAGAGGAAAATGACCAGACTGCTTCGAGTTGACAGAGAGGGAACAGTGACTCAAATAACCCCTTATTTCAACCAAGGTATGCAGTAGAGCATGAATGAATGCACAACACATTAAACCTTGGAGCAGATGGCCTACAGTAGCAGAAGACCACATACGGTGCCACTCCTGTCAGCTACAAACAGGAAATTGAGACTACAATTCATGCTCACCTGAGACACAATATTCACCAAAATTGAGCAATAGAAGAATGAAAGAACTTTGCCTGGTCTGATGAGTCTCAATTTCTGCTGTAACATTAAAATGGCAGGGCCAGAATTTGGCATAAAGAACATGGACACATGGATGCATCCTGCCTTGTATCAACGGTCCAGGCTGGTAGGGGTGCTGTAATGCTGTGGGGGATATTTTCTTGGCACACTTTGAGCTCCTTACTACCAACTGGGTACCACTGGGATGTGGTGGAACGAGAGATTCAACCTGGTGCCAGCAGGGTTTAACTAATTGTCAAAAGAGTGTATATAGTTAGTGGGGAAAATGTGTAATTCTTAAAATACAGTTTTAAAATATCAATAAATCATGTAAAATATCTAAATATATAATTGCTCTGTAGTGTGTTCAAATAAAACAATTTATTTGGCTCACAGAAAACTTCGTATGATTATAAACTCCATCTCTCACTGTGGTTTCTGTCAGATTGAAAACATTTGTCAGGTATTTCTTTAACATAAACCTTAGACACCAAAACTATTATTGTAACCACGACCAGATTCTGGTCCGGAAGGACACTTACTCTACATCTCGCTTCTTAATCGTCTTTCCGGATCCTAGGACCTCTGCCACTCGGGATACAATGGGATCATAGTTCATGCTGGCGACAGAAACCACCTCCTCACTCCTATAGATGGACCAGAGGAGGAAACAATGAGAAGGTACCTTCACAATAAAAGATAAATATTAGTTCACAATAGTTAAAGAACAACAACACACAAGCGTACTAAGATATCAGAAAAATTCTAGGAATCTTACCTTGTATAAAATGCTACAAAGCGCAGTTCATCCAGATCTCCTTGTATAATGACATCATCAAATCCGTCACCATAACCTCCACAAATAGAAACAAATAATCCGACTCAGGCCTAATTCTTGGTCACGGGCTTCATTTTTGTTCAGCTAGATGGCAGTGTAGTACCAATATTTCAGGGCACACGCATTTCCTCTCAGTCTCTGATCTTTTTTTCACAGTCAGTCTTCCTCTTAACACAAATTTTCAGGCTAAAGCAAACACTAAAGATGGTTGGAAGGCCCGCCTACCTGCATAGCGTATGGTCTTCCCAAACATGGCTGACCAGAAGTAAGGCACGGTTTTGACCTCAGTGGCTCTGCCCATCATGCTAAGAGCTGCTACCTTTCCTGTTAGTGCCAGTGGAAACCACAAACATTGACATAGTTGAGTTATAAAAGCCTTAGTTATGGAGTATGAATGCAGTCAAGAACATGCTACAACAAACTCACCGTGGACATGAGCCATTTGCCAGTGAGGGATGTTCACCTTCTTGTTGTTGCGTGGTTGGAAAGGAAACATCACCACATCTCCTCCAGCAAAGACCCCATCAACATTTGTCTGCATATTCTGGAAGAAAGATGGAAGAATTTAACGAAATGGGAGTCAAAGAGTTTAAGTGAGGCTCCAGGCTCTGCACAGCACCTTGTTTACAGTAATGAAGCCCTTGGAGTCTAAGTGGATGCCGCTCTGTTTCAGGAACCCTGTTGCAGGAACGCTTCCTGCAGGAGAGCAGAGCAAGAGTGCAAAAACACACTTTTAATGTCACCAAAGTAATTTTTAGATAATTAATGACAGACAATAAGGACATATTCTGTATTATGTTTCATATCACCTGCTCCAATGACACACACATCTGCCCGCAGGACTTTTCCACTCTTCAGTACAACCTCTTTCAACTGTAACAGGGAAAAAACAGCTTGCAGTTATGTGCTAGTGTATCTATTGATATGCTAACAACTCTCACGCAAAATAAATGTTAATATAAAAACTGGTATTTTTATTCAGTTAGTTTTTTTTACTGAGAAATGGGATTATACATGTAAAGTCACGGCGTCTCTCAAAGTTATTTAGATCATTTCCCCCAAGAGATGGATGCAATCTTCAATATCCCAAGTTCAGTGGACACAATGTCTATCTCCTTATCTGAGTTTTGCCACGTTGTCAAACAAGAGACAATAGTGCGTCCGAGCATTGTGCTGTTTCTCTCACTTTCTGAATACCTGTCCATGATGGCCAACCATCTCTGACACCTCGTTCAGCATGTAGAATTTCACCCTGTTTGCCTCAAACAGCTGCGAAGACAAAACGGTTCTAGTGAATACTCGAAAACAGAGAGAGAAAAAGTTCACCGCTGAATTTTCATGTGTCTGCATGATCAATCGCCGCTAATGAGAAGATTTACACTCCC